TAAGTAATCCAGAAGAAAGGTCAAAGGCGATAAAGAGGAGCAAAAACTAAGTCGCAGTAGCTGAGAGGGAAGAACTGACTTCTAATTAGAAAATATAAAGTCAAAAGGATCGTCATGCACACCCTCACTACTAAAAGAAGCTGGATAAACTGCATCATTAGAATTTTAAAACTTGTCGGAGACTGAGGACACCAGGAAACCGAGATCAACTCCAAAAAGTAGCAAGCCGTTTTAAAAGAGAAGGGATTCCCAGCCGCTTTCACCCTCGACTGAAATAGGACAAGAATTCTGCCGCAGACAAGGGCTGACGAGAAACCTTTCTCATGCGATAGTCCTTTTTCTTCTCGTTGCTTATCTCCATTCGCCTGTGCAAATTCGGTCCTTTCCCATCCCCATTTTATGTTTTTATTGTCACTAACTGCCCCTCTTTATGCTGTGTATTTGTTTCCAAACTGCCAAAGCTATACTTTAAAAAGAAAATGCTTTCTCCCTTTAACCTATGTTATAATTGTTTAATACTGTATTCCGAAATAGAGTTGCAGTATTCTGCTTCTGTCTGTCTGTCTGTCTGTCTGTCTGTCATCTTACAGTTCTGTATCCTTTAATCTTTTCTTTTTGTTTCGGGGAGAAGAGCTCCTTTTAACATTTCTTATAATTCAGATCTTGTGTTGGTAAATTTCCCTCAGCTTTTGTTTGTCTGGTAAAGCCTTTACTTACATGATGTTATGAACCAAGGTTACTCCCAATAAATTTAATTTTAAAAGAGAGAGAGAAACCAGTCTTACTGGTTTTGAAGTTCTTAAACCATAACTTGAATAATTTTAGCCAGAAGATTTTTTTTGTGGGGGAGGGGAGGATTACTTATTCATCTTGGATCCGAGTTAGACCAGTGCTATGAAATCAGCCTTATCTTTCACACTGGGATCCACGGAGCAAGTCAGGAAGATTTGCAAACAGGTGTACCAAGCATCTTCCTTCAGCCTGTGCTGCTTGATGTCTGTTGGAGCTTGCTGCAGCTCCACACGTTCAAGTTCAGTGTTCTGTGGACAGTGTTCCACGGCTAGTGTCTCTATCCCAGTGCCTGAGGCTTTCTGAAACTACAGAAGCCAGCTGCCCGGTCCCCGTGCAGAGATGTGCAGCGCACCAGAAGAACCAGTAATTAATACCCACCGCCCACCCAAGCAACTCTCAACCAACAGTCTTGGGGAGTTGATGTTTAAACGCTTTTGCTCGCTCAGCATTTGAGTGGGATGATGCTGAGGGGCGTGTTTTGCACAAGATCAGGCTCTAGCTGCCCATCGGGGTGAATGGTGTAGGAGGCCAGAGCACACGATCCCAAAAGATGCCACTCTGGCTTATTGATCATTCTGAGTTAAAGGCACCGAAAAACAGCAGATGCAAGAAGGGCATTCTGACCTTCCTTTTTCTTCCTAAAGGCAGGAGATGAAACTCCCACGCGAGAGGCACATTCCCTGCAGCAGGAGGAAGACATTCTCAGCACCGCAGTCGGGAGTCAAGGGCGAGGAAAATCTGAGCAAACAAACCTTGTTAAACCGACCTTTATCTTTTCCACAATTAACTGCCCCGGCCCAAACCCCCTCTGTCTCGCCACATCTTCACCATTTCCTGCTCTCTGTCCAATCTATAAGCTTTCAGCTCTAACTGCTTCTTTGGGTCTTCGTTTTGCTTAGGAAGACTCACGTGGACATGTAAAAATTACTAAATAAAGTCTGTATATTTTCCTCCTGTTAATCTGTCTTATGTCAGTTTTCTTAGGCCCAGCTGGAGACCCTGAGAGGACAGAAGAGAAATTTTATGTCCCCTGCACCAGCTTTAATGACACACTCTTTACAGGCTGTCCTTACAGGCCCACAGCCTGTCACCGCTCCACGCCAGTGTCCTCTGCACCTCCCAAAACGACTCGCACTCAGGAAAATAAAAAGACATCTAACAGAAAGAAGAGTGCGAAGTATACTGGACACACCAACAACAACAACAAAACGGGTGACAGAATGAACCACGTCATTGACATATTCCTGATCATTCCATAGAGCTAAAAATTTCAAAGTGTTAGGGTTAAGTAAATAGGAAAGTTCAATATCAAATACATCCTATTTAAGCCTTCGGGGCGGCTATGGGACATGGTCCTCTGTTGGTGGCAGTTCTGAGCCAGCTGCGGCATAAGCCCGCAGGGCCTTCAGAATGAAGCCAGTGACTGGGATAGCAAAGGACACTGAGAAGCCTCTGCCTCCCTCTCCTCTGTGCGTCTGCTTCATCCTTCTCGCGCGTTCTGTGTCCCAGTCCACGTGGCGGCCACCAGCACCCACGAGATCACCCAGTACTGGGCAGTGGCCCGCAGAAGGAGAGGCTGATTTTCTCTTTCTGCCTCCTCTGCTCTTTCTTTTTTCTCCCCCACCAGCTCTGCCAAAATTCCCAGGAAAAAAAAAAATGGTCCTGCTTGGCTCAGGTACCTATGCCAGGACCACTCGAACGTGGAGAGAAAGAAATGTCACACGGTAGAAAAATGGCAGTCCCCTGCAATCCAAAAGAGTGGGGGAAAGGGACACTCCCAGAGAATGAATACTGGTAAGTCAACATGTGTGAGCCATCGATCTACTTGAGAAACTGAGGAAAACACTACCTTCGTGACAGCAATATGTACATACTGACGAATACCAAAATGCAAACAATTGACGGTGTTCATGGAACCCCTACAATTCATTTTTAGATCCTAAATTTAAAGCTCTCGATAACCATCTAGATATATCCACTGTTTCAAATTTTTCGGATATTACTCTAAAATTTAAGTTTTAAATACTGAATAAGGAATCACATTAAAAGCTTTTCAACTGCGAAAAATACACAGAATAAAATGTTCATTCTTTCCAGAATATATAATACGTAAAAAGTCTATACATAATGGCATGGACGAGGTAGAAAAGACCATCGATCACCTATCAACCAGTATCTACTGTCATCGAACGGAAACAACATGGCAGACCCTCACAGTTTTTTTTTTACAATAGTTAAAATACTTTTCAATATTATACGCCCAAACATGATCAAACATTTGAGATGTACCTAGGCCCTCAATCACTCAGATCATGACGCATGTACATGGGTTCCATACATCTCATAAAGAGATGTACGAAGTGATTCAAATAATTAGGGAGACCTAGTCCTGCCAAACACGACGGCCTGGAGAGAAAGAAACCTATGCGCGGCTCAGTCAAAAGTTTCCATTCAAAATACGTTGCGATTACCGCCTATAACTTTACTCAAAACGAGCGAAATCAAACACGGACAAGAAAAACAGGCTAGGGAAATAAAATCAGAAGTAAATACCTCAAATCTATTATGCAACAGGTGAGATATAAATGAAACACTATATGAGAGTGGTCAGAGACCCCATCCCCTTCACTGGTTAGTAGGAAGCAGTTAAGGACATTAGTCGGACATCCTTAACCTCGGAGAGTCTATAATGGAAGGAAATGGCCACATTCTACCACAAATGTTCTTACATTACAGGAAAAGAGAATAACAGAACACAAGAACAACGGTTTAACAGAGAACTCTATTTCTCATGTTTCTTACATATATATAAAAGGGCTTACAGATACAGTATTACGCCTATGCATTTTGATTCTACGATATATCTTTGTAAGTTTCACATATGGAAATATGCAAACTTGAAGTATTATTTTAATGATATATTTTCTAGGTAATCTCCAAAAGAGAATCCCATTTTCTGAATAACTCAATATAGAAACCTGATAAAGCCAGAATGACGAAACACCATTAAGCTTAATTACATACGATAAACCCTAAAGGAAAGATAACCATATAGAAAACTTTTATATTAACAGTTGAAAAAAGACATTCTATGAGATTAAAAAATTATTTCTTAAAGAGTCACTGCTATACTAGTACCATTTTTCATAAACGACATTGAACATATATATATGTAGGCCAGAACATAAAGTCGAAAATTGGTTATTATGCGTTTATCAAGAAATTTCTGTACTTGAAAAATTTTGGAGAAAGTATTTTTTAAATCATAAAGAAAGAGTATAGACTCTTTCATTCATGGATTTAACATGAATAGTTTTTCACATTCTCACGTGACCATGAATTTCCGTGACAGGTAGTAATTTGTCATTTTGGTTGGGTCATACACACTTGGATACACTAAAAATCTGGTTGGTGTTCCTAAAAGAGTTATTAAATAGAAATAATCCTCGCCCATGTGACATCTGTATTTTTCTCTGCTCATTCCTGAATGCAGAGTAACTTTCATAGAGTAATTGAAATACAAGTTTTAAAAATTTTTAAATCATACTTCATTTTTAAATATGGGAAATGACAGACAGTGGAATCTGCAAATGTGTGGATTCACAGAGGATGGTCTCAGGGCTTCCCTTGTAAGACAGAGGGTTTAATGGCAGCCCAGGAGGATGCAGGATCTGGGTCCCATCTACCACTACATCAAGATCTAAAAGAATGTTCAGCCGGCAGAAGTGACTATTAATTACGACCAAACTTAAATTCTGCTACTAAATTCTAGTATGATTTCTCATTAAATCCAATTAATGCACATCGATCATCTCACTAGAGAATGAGGGAAAACCCTGCGTGTTATCTGCCTTCCGGACACTAAAATAATGACATCATACAAAGTTCATCTACATTCTTTGATGTGAAATTCAGAACTAAACTTCAGAACTGAAGAAACTTTTTGTACAAATATTGCACCAGAGCAGTGATCTGAATTGTGCTAATTATAGGTCAAAAACGTAAATGCCTCCTTCTTAGGTTTGCTTCAGGGAAAAGACTCTTTGTCACATTTCCCTCACATTTCTTAGTTTCATCTTCAGACGAATGGACAATCGAATACTTACAAACCTATCCGAGGTCCACTGCCTAGACACACCATGATAAATATGAATAAAAACAGATTTGTGACAGACAAGAAACTATTGTGTGCTACAGACTATGATTACCTGGAGGTAGGAACTGCAGTTGGTTGTTAGCTAATCGAAGGTGACGTAAAGCTCTCAGACGACCAATTTCTGGGCAAACGATTTCTAAGGCATTGTCACTAAGGTCCAAACACTGGAGTTTGACAAGGGACCCAATGGCTTCAAAGAGAAAAGGAGGGTAAAGGCAAAATCAGTTTGACCCAAGTGTTACGTCAAATCTCTAATGCAAGGATGCCATGTTAAAATACTTCGATACTTAATATCACCAACACGGTGGCTCACAAAATAATAAAAACATAGATCAAACTATGGAATTTCTAAATTTTATGAAAGTGATAAGACGTCTAACTAAATAAAAAAGATAACTTAAAATAGAGCAAAATAAGAATTTTAAAACTATATATGAAACCATATACTAGGTGTTTTTAAATTTAACTCAAATTCTTAACTGGTTATACTGAATTTAGAACTTCTTGTATTATTTACTCAATAATAACATATCTAATAATAATTTACCTAATCATTATAACCATTTTAGACGTATTTAATTCATAATTCTTAACTGGACTTACTAATTAGGGAGAAAAAGCTTTGAAAATAATAAAGATAGTTTATAATTAAAATTCACTAATACACCAACCAAAATAGGTTTAAAGAGACTATATATTCCACTGTCATAAAGGAAAGCTTAAACTATGGTGTCTCTTAACTAAAAAAATGGAAGTTCACTTACTTACCTTCTGGAACTACAACTATGTTATTTGAGTGTAGGTACCTGGGGGAAAAAGA